CATCAGTTGCCAGGAAAGTTGTCTACGTGTCACTGTATGCTTTTGGTTTCATTTACCAGAACATGCATTACCACAAAATCATCAGTGGATGCAGTAAAAGCAGAAGATTGGTGATGGTGACAGTGAGCTCCATAAATGGAAAGCTACAGATGACAGCTGAGTGAGCAAAATAAATCAAATGCTGACTGGCTTATAATGGTGTAGATATGCAAGGTTTGGTTTTTACACAATGAGATAAGCTACTGTAAAAACCTACTACTGCCAGAAAAGAGATATGAAAACATCTCTCAAACTTCCTTTTAGTGTATACTTAAAATATAACCAGTGACTTCTGGTACTTATCTTTGGACAAAATTGATTGAAGCCTCTACATGAGACGTACAGAAGTCACGGCTCTTCACAAAAGCCACCCCGTATCTGCTGTGTGCACAAAGAGCCCTCCACCACTAAAGTAAATGTAACATAAGCTTAAGAGCACACTTCCCTTCCTAACTTCTGCTTCCCACAGTTTTTATCAGGTAGTCACTGCTGCCTACGATAATAATTGTCATTGTGTACTTCTGTAAACTGATGCTCCAAGTCAAATGAAGTATTAGTAGCCTATAGTATCAGTAGCATGGACTGCAGGAACATTAACACATGTGAGTAGACAGTATTCCAAGTAAAAAAAATGACAATTTGACGCTTTGCAGTGGTTTATGTGCCAGACTATTTCTTGGCTCTATGCAGTTGCCAAGCAACCGGCGGCAATTCAAGGAAGTTACTATGGCTGACCAAGATATAACCCCCAGTAAAACAGGAAATTGTCATTTTTAGTCTTTATTTTTTGTACAGATAAAACAAACGAGATATAACATGTTAATTAGTGAGCTTTACACGTGCTGGTAAGTTGATTGTGTTACTTCAGGCTAGCTGTTTCCCCATTTTTTCAGTCTTTTTGCTAAGCTAAGCTAAGCAGCTGCTGGCTGCAGCCGATCTGACTGACAGATATGAGAGTGGTATCAATCTTATCATCTGACTCTCCAACAGAGAGCGAGTGAACCTATTTCCCAAGATGTCAAACTGGTCGTTAAAATGAAGATCGATCAATGAGTCAGTGGGTCAGCAGAAACACTGAACTTGTCAACATATCCCAGGTGCCTTCACCTGGGGTAGTTTTCTTGTCTTAATCTTGTTTTAATGTTTAAAGTTTTTTGACTTGTAGAACGTGTATACACAATACAAAATGAATCTTAAATAAACTCTTCATTCAAAACAACAGTAACGAAATATAATGAGTTCTTAACCGTGTGGCTCTCTGCCGCTGAACACGTGTGTGAATGTCAGTGGAAGTGACAGACCACGTGTGGATGTGTGAGTGTCCGCTTGAGCGACTGCGCGCATGCATGTGACGCCACGCAACCCAGCCATAATCGCTGACCTCACCGCCAGCCAATGTGCCCTCCCTGAGCCAAACAGAACAGGGCTTAATCCCACCTACGCACACGCACACATACACACACCTTGGAAGTACAAGTGATACTTTAAAGTTCCCCAGACATTAAACAGCCAAAGCCCATATGCTGTACGTTCAGTGGTCAGACTCAACATGTACAGTATGTGTGGATTTAACTTCCGGCTGTAAAAAGTGCCAAAGAGCAAAGCAACCTCCAGCTGCCGTAGTACTGCTGGGAGCAGGATTACGTGTAGGCAGGGCAGTGCTGACATACTGACGTTTGTGTGTACAACATAACCTATAAGGCCATTACTGTAATGAAAGAGTTTTGTGTGTTTTTAACCATCATTTCAATCATTTATGATAACATTGTAGTAAAGAAATTGCTGAGGCAGCTGAGAAAGATTTTTAATCCCGGTACTGGTACACTTACCTTGACTGTGATACCGGTTCTTGAACAATGCTTTTTCAAAACCAATTTTATAAAAAAAAAAATCTGTTCAGTGTTACAATATAAAAAATATAAATAACTGTCAAAACTAACAACAACAATAATAAACAGTAATGGCAATATGCCATTGTAGCTTCTAGGCTGCCTAATCTAAAGAAGAAGAAGAAGAAGGCAACGACTGTGGCCGGATGACATTTGTGGTTCTCTCACCCAGGTCTGACAGCTTCAGGTGTATTTCTCTCTGTTTAGTGTCGGCCTGCAAGCAACAGCATGTTTGCCCTCAGAAATATTCTGCCTTGGCTCGAGGTCATCCGTGCATAGGGGCTTCCATCCCGGTGGACAAGATAAGCATCTTACGGTTAAAAAAAGAAGAAAAATAGCCTCTACCTAGTCTTGTTAATGTTCAAATGTTTTTAATAAACAAGTGAATGTTGGTATCAAATTGGGTATGGAGAATTGCAGAATTTCACTGGTATTGGTACTGACTACTGAATTTCTGGTATGGTGACATCCCGAGTTTACATGGATGGTTTGGGTTATAACTGCACCGTTCGCCTTTGTTCTCCACTCCAAATCCATCTGGCTAGCCTGGGGGTTTGTCTGAAATCTGTCAGATCATCTGGCTGCTCATCTTCCTCTCCTCATCTGACTTCTTCTCAGCCACGTTGCTGCATTCCCACATCTCAGCAATTAACTTGGTGAGTACGACGTCATCATGACCCAAAGAAACAACGGCCTAAACTATGAAAACACCACCTAAGTTGTACTAAAGCAGAAATTGTTTTTAACACAATGGTGCCTGCGCCAGCATCTCCTGGCCTTTCAGTGCTATAGGCATGGTGTGTGGTTGGGGCAGGGACAACAAGCTTCTCGCACACTGGCAGCACCAGCATTTTTCAGCTCTGATTAAGGGCATTGCGCAGTGAAGGAGAGACTAATGTGTGTGTATTTATTTCACAATGTGAAACTGTATACAGACCAGAGCCTTGCAGTGTGAGAACCGTTGAGTAGGTGAGAAAAAAATGTTTGTGCTTTAAGTGAGAAAAGAGCAGTCATCTATATGTGTGTGTGTGTGTG